ACATACTGTACAGTACCTAACACAGTACAATAAATTAGGATAATGACTGCTAGCAACCTATAACCTATGGAACAGATACAAGTCTGCAGTATGCTACAAGTGACTAAAAGAATAAACCCTTATTATCATGCAGGGATGTGTCTCTCAAGGGAATGTGGAGATGCTAAACTGGACATCCATTAAGTACTGTACTGTAATGTGAAAATAATGGCTGGCCTCTAAAAGCTGCCAAGACCACCATTTAATTATTTTTACCCCCAATAAACCATAGTTGAACATCAGCTGTCCACTACTATGCATAATAAAGCATAAAAAAGCTTTATTATTCATTATCAAGCATTTTCTCTCAATACAGTAATGGGAAAATATTAACTTGCCTTAGGGCACTGCCTAATAAAGCAATATTTACCCTTAAGCGTGAATTTGTTTAAGGTGTAGAAGCTGTCGCCAAGACAATAACCACACCCTAAGTTAACGAGTTGCACGACTCAGTGTCAAGAAATAGTCCGAGAAGACCGGACAACTCGCCAACTGCTGGGTAGACAGAGGCAAATGGTGTAAAGAAACTTGCCCATAGTTTCACCCTGCCCGGGTCAACTCAGCATGCTGACCATTACACCACAGGTCCTTTTATAGCAGCAAATAAACACTAAAATGCAAAATCAAAGGTAAAAGACTTCAATAGTCACTTTGTTTCTATTAAAAAAAAATCAATATTTTTCACCGTGGCTGTCAGCTGAGTGTTGGGTTCTTGGAGGCCAGTGGTGCCAAACTTAACTGGATAATGTCCCAACATTATCAGATCATCTTCAAATTCCAAGCAAAATGTCAACAAAAATATTGATTTCAGATGAATTTATGAAAAAGCAAAATTTTCTATGGCAATAAACATAACCTGTCACCTGGGGAAGTGAAATATGTCCAAGTGATAAGAGTAACCAACTTGACAAGTCAGCTTCAACCTCCTGATATACTGTACTGTACCTCTCTGTCTACTGTGTATAGTTAGGCTAGGCTATGTGTGCATTTACTGTACTAGTGACTTCAACTTGTTCTGCCAACATATATTAAGTAAAACACCTGCCAATTAGTAACAACAAATTGTATAAATCATCTTGGTGCATAACAAGGATAAGTTATTTTGGGTAAGTGTATTTACACTAATACCTTATACTGTACAGTAGACCTTTATTCACTATACTGCACTGTACTGTACAACATTAATTATGAGTTAATTTCTTTTCAAAATACAGTACAGTATTACACACAAGACTTCTTGAACAAAAATATCTGCAGGTGCAGTATGACACAATCACTGGGCTGGGACACTTGAATCGACCAACCAGTGATTAACACGAATGTTTGGCTCACAAATGCACTCATGTACTGTACTGTATAGTTTAAAGACCCTTTCAGTTATTATATATAAAAAATTTAATATATATTCGATCATCTTTTACGAGAGAAGCAAGTCACAACAGTGCGTATTAACGATGGTTTACTGTGGCATTACAGTAATGGGCGATGACACCCCTCACCTAGTATAAATACGTTACTGTATATGACAAAGATACTGTACTAGCTGATGTTAAATACTTTTGGCAATAAAGTAGTAGTGATTATTAGCAATAAAAATTAAATGGAAATATCAACTATGTACTGTAACAGGAAGATACTGTACAGTATCAAGAAGACTCACTTAAAGTACAATACTGTACAGTACAGGTATTGTATTGGACGACCAAAAAGTACAACAGCTAAATGGCAAAGAAAATTATATACTGTAGTGAGCATTGGACCATGCAATGAATGTCTGTCTTCTGTGAAATAAAAAGAAAAATAATAAATAAATAAAAAAATAAAAAAATAAACATTTTAATGTTCATTAAAATGACCTACGTATTGCAACATCTCCTTTATAACATTTAAGTGTTAAATTAGAATTATGTCTTAAAAGAGTCAGCAATTCATTGTATTAAATGAGACGGTATCAAAGTTGTCAACATTCAAGAAGGTCATAGTGTATATCATATGATGGCTCAACCTTTGTACTGTAGTCCCATTGTTTCACACTGAGCCAAAAAGTGAATAAACCATCACAATACAAGAGGATTCATTCACCATAAAGATACAGTACATCTGTGGAGGCTCTTAACTCCAAGTGTCCAGGAAGTCACTGTACTGTACTGTACTCCACTGTACTATATACTGTACTATACTGTACTGTACTGCACTCCACTGTACTGTGCTGCACTGTACTATAATGCACTGTACTGTACTATACTGCACTGTACTGTACTATACTGCACTGTACTGTACTATACTGCACTGTACTGTGCTGCACTGTACTATAATGCACTGTACTATACTGTACTGTGATGCACTGTACTATACTGCACTGTACTATACTGTACAGTGCTGCACTGTACTGTACTATACTGCACTGTACTATATTGCACTGTACTGTACTATACTGCACTGTACTATACTCCACTACTATACTGTATTGCACTATACTATACTGCACTGTACTATACTGTACTATACTGCACTGTACTATACTGTACTATACTGCACTGTACTATACTGTACTGAATTATACTGTACTATACTGCACTGTACTATACTGTACTGAATTATACTGTACTATACTGCACTGTACTATACTGCACTGTACTATACTGTACTATACTGCACTGTACTATACTGTACTATACTGCACTGTACTATACTGTACTGAATTATAATGTACTATACTGCACTGTACTGCATTGTACTGCACAGTACTATACTGCACTGTACTGTACTATACTGTACTGAATTATACTGTACTGTACTGCACTGTACTATACTGCACTGTACTGAACTATACTGCACTGTACTGTATTATACTGCACTGTACTGTATTATACTGTACTGTACTGGACTATACTGCACTGTACTATACTGCACTGTACTATACTTCACTGTACTTGACTGCACTGTACCATACTGTACTGTACTATACTGCACTGTACTATACTACACTGTACTGTACTGTACTGTACTATACTGCACTGTACTATACTGTACTGGACTATACTGCACTGTACTATACTGCACTGTACTATACTTCACTGCACTATACTGTACTGTACTATACTGCACTGTACTATACTGCACTGTACTGTATTGCACTGTACTGTACTGTATTATACTGTACTATACTGTACTGTACAATACTGTACTATACTGCACTGTACTGCACTGTACTGCACTATACTGCAGTGTACTATATTGCACTGTACTGTACTGTATTATACTGCACTGTACTGTACTGTACTATACTGCACTGTACTATACCGCAGTGTACTATACTGCACTGTACTGTATTATACTGCACTGTACTGTACTATACTGCACTGTATGAACTGTACTGCACTATACTGCACTGTACTGTATTATACTGTACTGCACTGTATGTACTGTACTGCACTATACTGCACTGTACTATACTATACTGCACCATACTGTACTGCACTGTACTATACTGCACTGCACTGTACTATACTGCACTGTACTATACTGTACTATACTGCACTGTACTGTATTATACTGTACTGTACTGCACTGTACTATACTGTACTATACTGCACTGTACTGTATTATACTGTACTGTACTGCACTGTACTATACTGTACTATACTGCACTGTACTGTATTATACTGCACTGTACTGCACTGTACTATACTGTACTGTACTGTAGTGTACTGTACTGTACTATACTGTACTGTATACTGTACTATACTGTACTGCATTGAACTGTACTATACTGCACTGTACTGTACTATACTGTAGTGTACTGCACTGTACTGTACTATACTGCACTGTACTGTACTATACTGTACTGTAGTGTACTGCACTGCACTGTACTGTAGTGTACTGTACTGCACTGTACACTGTACTGTGCTGCACTGTACTGCACTGTACTGTAGTGTACTATACTGTACTATACTGCACTGTACTGTACTATACTGCACTGTACTATACTGTATTGTACTGTACTGTACTATACTGCACTGTACTGTACTATACTGCACTGTACTGTACTATACTGTACTGTATTGTACTGTACTGTACTGTAGTGTACTATACTGTACTATACTGCACTGTACTGTACTGTACTGTACTATACTGCACTGTACTGTACTGCACTGTACTGTACTGTACTGTACTATACTGTATTGTACTGTACTGTAGTGTACTGTACTGTACTATACTGCACTGTACTGCACTGTACTGTACTGTACTGCACTGTACTGTACTATACTGTACTGTAGTGTACTGTACTGTAGTGTACTGTACTGGACTATACTGCACTGTACTATACTGCACTGTACTATACTGTACTGTATATTGTACTATACTGTACTGCTCTGCACTGTACTATACTGCACTGTACCATACTGTAGTGTACTGCACTGTACTGTACCTACACAACAAAACAACATGCACACCTATAAATCCAACACCATAAACATCCTTCACATTAGTCATAAAGCATAAAAAAAGGCCAATTAAATATTTTTAACCACAATACTGTACTATAGAAAATAAGAAACAAATAAATTACCCACTTTAACAGCCAACCAACAATATACTATACTGTGCTGTATGGGCATGAAACAAAAGGCTGAAACCAATCAGTAACAGAAAGCAATCAGGAACAAAACCCAATTAGATGAAGTGGTGGCCAGACATTAGTGGGCTATACCCAGACCTTGTGCCACGGTAATTACACCACCAAAACACCTGGTATAATTCCATCTACCCAATTCCGATTTTGATGTCTGAATAAAAGCTACAGCCCAATGAGGAAATAAAATACATTTATACATTTTTGTAAAAACATAAATTAAACCCAATATTGTAATCAATTTACTTTTATATTCTACAAAACACAATTAAAAATTATGTAAAACATGAAAACAGTCCATTATTTATTGTCACACACCACTTACCTTATTTAACTCTTCTATTCTTCTAATTTGATATGGTGATGTAGATGACGTTTCAAAATATACATAATCTGAAAAAGAGATTATTACTTTAATACAAGAACAATACTGTATCATACTTAAGACAAACATACCTAAGAAAAGGCTTTAGACTGTACTGTAATTTAATGAATGACAATTACATTCATCTTTTGTGTGTGAATTCCCTGATGATATTAACTTGTGGTGTGAAGACGAGGCAGTTAAGGTTAGTGGACTTAAATATGAAAACCAAATTCATTAAACTCTTCACTACTGGACACCATCTTTTAATATTTTACAACATTTTAGTGTTCACCACATACAGTACTTCATCTAAATTTTATCTATATTTTACTAACTCTGCTAAAGCCTAATGTCCCCCTTTTCAACTACAGACTGTACAAAGGACTAATTTATCCAAAAATTTGTCCATATTCAATTTTATCCCACACACACACACACACTGTGGCTCCATGACCACGTGAGGTCCTTCACATCAACACCTGAGGATGAGTTACTACACCACGTGAACACCGTGAACACCTCACCACCTGGTGTCTCCATGACCACGTGAGGTCCTTCACATCAACACCTGAAGATGAGTTACTACACCACGTGAACACCTCACCACCTGGTGTCTCCATGACCACGTGAGGTTCTTCACATCAACACCTGAAGATGAGTTACTACACCACGTGAACACCTCACCACCTGGTGTCTCCATGACCACGTGAGGTCCTTCACATCAACACCTGAAGATGAGTTACTACACCACGTGAACACCTCACCACCTGGTGTCTCCATGACCACGTGAGGTCCTTCACATCAACACCTGAAGATGAGTTACTACACCACGTGAACACCTCACCACCTGGTGTCTCCATGACCACGTGAGGTCCTTCACATCAACACCTGAAGATGAGTTACACACCACGTGAACACCACCACCTGGTGTCTCCATGACCACGTGAGGTCCTTCACATCAACACCTGAAGATGAGTTACTTGGTGTCTCCATGACCACGTCCTTCACATCAACACCACCTGAACACCTCACCATCTGGTGTCTCCATGACCACGTGAGGTCCTTCACATCAACACCTGAGGATGAGTTACTACACCACGTGAACACCTCACCACCTGGTGTCTCCATGACCACGTGAGGTCCTTCACATCAACACCTGAGGATGAGTTACTACACCACGTGAACACCGTGAACACCTCACCACCTGGTGTCTCCATGACCACGTGAGGTTCTTCACATCAACACCTGAAGATGAGTTACTACACCACGTGGACTCCTCACCACCTGGTGTCTCCATGACCACGTGAGGTCCTTCACATCAACACCAGAGGATGAGTTACTACACCACGTGGACTCCTCACCACCTGGTGTCCCCATGACCAGCCCGGGCCATCAACTGTAAACTATAATAATTTGTATGTTCAATTCATGTTCCTTCTCCTTTCAGTAATGAAAGCTTTTGTTAAACGACCCAACCACCCCATGTCTTTTTATGTAGTAAGTCATTTTTGTCCAATGTATATTTTCAGCTTTCGGGCTGCAAAACATTTCAATAAACCGTTAATAATTATTATTATTATTGTTACTATTATTATTACACACACCATCTTCAGCCTTCATGGGGTGGGAAAGTGTGTAGTCGGCGCTGCCCGCCAAGGTAGCCGTGGCCTTTTAGGCCATTGAGACAACTGCCAGCCTGGTCTGTCGGGCCTTCCCCATCTGGATTTATCAACATCCTCCCACCAACAGCACAGTGCAAAGATTGACGATCACACTCGAAAGAAAGAAACAACTGTTAAGAGTGACAACCAGTGCTTAGCGGTCAGTGTTGACCTGACGCAGACCTGACACTGGATGAGAAGCCAAGAAAGACTCCAAACTACATCAGGAGAGAAATGAGGACTCCCTACTCCACCCAGGTGAGATATTATGAATTCCTAACCACATAACACGAGGAACAAGAACCATCTCCAACACGTGGTGGATGTGCTAAACATCTGAAGCTGTAGTGAGGGAGCGGCTTAGCACCCAGGTACGACGGCCTTCCAAACAGTGGCACCAATATCAGGTCACAAGAATGTCTACAAGACCAGCTCCCACAATACCAGATCTATTGTTAATCTATATGTTGACTTTCTTATATTTTATTAATTGAAAGCTTTTGTCAATCAAATGAGACACTCCCCAATTTCACCATATGTACTGTAACTTATCATCTCTGTTCATTGTATATTTTCAGCCTTCGGGCTGTCAAGTTATCTCTATAAACCGTTAATTATTATTATTACACACACATGCATGCACACACACGGTAATCTGTTCCACATTACTTCACAAACCAGAGTTTAATACCATACACTACAGTCAGTTGAGTCTGGATTTACGCGGTTTTGGTTTACGCGTTTGGTCATTTACGCGGCGCCTTGCCAAAATTGAAATGCTTGATTTAAGCGGTAAATTTGGTCATTTTCGCAGACAGCATCTGGCGGTCCTGCCGCGCCGCGCCATTTTTGGATTCAAACCTCCCGCCATGCTTGGGTAAGCGGCGCGAGTAGATTGTGCAGTGTATGTCCCTGTTGCGTTATCGGTGACGTCATATGACGTATCGGAATGTGATTGGGCCACGCATCCTCACCTCCTTCTGCCGCTAGCTGTGATTGGTTTAATGTAATATGACGTGCCCTGCCACGGGAGGGAAGAAGCCGCTTGACCTAGCAGCATCAGTTGCTCTCCTCCCAGTCACTCCGTGTAAACTGTGTTCTATTGTGCCCGCTAATCTCGTAAGAATGGCTTCCACTGGACCCCCACCACCACAGAAAAACCTTGCATTACCTGGACCCAGCTGCCCTAAGCCAAAGAAGATACGACGTGCCCTAAGTTACGAAGTGAAGTACAAGATCATACAAGATTTAGAAAAAGGACTGAGACAGGTTGATTTGGCGCGCCAGCATGGCGTGAATGAATCTATGATCAGGACGATCAAGAAGGATGCAGCCAAGAAAATAGAACACATGAACATCACAAAGTCTGCAGGTGCTTCAATGGTGAAGTACTGCCAGAACAGGGTGCTGCTCAAGACGGAGAATTTACTTGTGAGCAACTTGATTCGTCAGGCAAGACGGAACATGGCGGTGGACACGCGGTCGGTTCAAGAGTACGCACGTGAACTGTACGTAGCAGTGGCACGTAAGATGGGAATTGCAGAGCCCAAACCCTTCAATGCTTCCTCTGGGTGGCTGCAAGGGTTTAAGAAGAGGAACAAGATCACCAACATTAACATTGTTGGTGAAGGAGCCAGTGCTGACCAAGCTGCGGCTAGTGATTTTCCTCCATTCTTTCGAGAAGTTATGGAGGAAGGACAGTACACCGACGACCAGGTGTTCAACATGGATGAATCCAGTCTGTTTTGGAAAAAGCTACCTTCCAAGACCTTCGTTGTCAAGTCTGCCTGCAAGTGTCGGGGCCGGAATTTGCAGAAGGAGCACATCACCGTCCTGTTTACCACCAATGCCTCCGGTACCAGTAAACTCAAGTTATCGGTGATCCACACAGCCCACAAGCCGCACGCCTACAAGAACATGGACATGACCAAGCTAAATGTCCACTGGCTAACCGCACGTAAGGTGTGGATGTTCTCTGCTCTGTCCCTCTCCTGGTTTGACGACTGTTTCGTTTCCGACGTCAAGAAATTCTGCGAGCAACAGAATGTTCCATTCAACATTTTGTTGCTCCTTGACAACGCACCAGGACACTCGCCCCTACTGTTGGATCGTCACCCCAACGTAAAAGTGGTCTTCCTTCCTCCCAACACTACGTTGTTAATCCAGCCCATGGACCAGGATTTGATATGCAACATTAAGGCTGCATTCTCTCCAAAGAAGTTTATGCTCGTGAACGACTGTAACAACACCAAGGATGAGTTGCGTAACCTGGGTGACACCGAGAGCGACGAGGACGAGGAATAAGAGTTGGCGGATAAAGAAGTTCGCGTCAAACAGTTTTGGAAGAAATTTAACGTCAGGAAAGCTGTTGATTTCTTGGTGGAGGCATGGGAGCAGCTGTCTGTAGCAACGACTTGTCACGCATGGCGGCATGTGTTGCAAGGTATCCCAGGTGGGAGGCAGAGTAAACCTGTGACTGGTGAGGTCCAGTCTGTTGCAGTGGACCTTGCAAGAGAAGCTGCGCAGAGTGTTACAGCTGCAGGCTTCTCCGAGACCACCAACGATGACATTATGGAGGTGGTAAGGGATCCTGAGGTGACTGCCGACGAGATGTTAGAAGACGAAGATGTTAGTGAAGATGCAGGTGGTGCGTCATCCCGAGAAGAACACAGGTTCACGCATGGTAATGTTAAGGATGCCATCGAGTGTGCAGAGAAACTCAAGCTCATCCTTTCCAACGACCCTGACGATCACTGCTATGAAGTCTTCAATAACCAGCTGTTGCAAGCTACGGAGCCGTACATCAAGGTGTATCACGACAACATCAACACTAGCCGTCAGCATAACATCATGGACTTCTTCGCCCGCAACCCACCACAGCCAGCCCAAGCCAGTGACAGTGACGCTATGGACTTTGAGGGATTTGTCAGGGAGTTTTCCATCCCCCTTGACAAGACACAATACTGGTCCACCAATAGATTGTTCTAACTCCAGCAAGGACATTCTTCATACAATCACTTTACAGTCTGGTACAGTAAATCTTCCACTCTAGCCACAATCAAACCCAGGGTCTTTCACTTGTGATGCAAGTAGTAATATCTCCATTAGCGGGAATCCGTCAAACCCGGAACTCTCCAATTTTCCGGAAAAATCTGAGAAAATTTTCCCAGTTGCCGGAAAATTCTCGGGATTGGGAAGTTTTTTCCAAGTTTGAGGAGCAGGGCAATTTCTGGAACGTTCGAGAATATATTTCCGTTACCTGGAAAATTCCGGGGATGGGGGATATTTTTCCGGCTTTGAGAGTCATCTCGTTACCCGGAAATTTCTCATTCCCGGAAGTGCTCTGCACCAATTGTTCCGGCTAA